CGCCACATGCAGCACTTTGGGGTCAAGACAAATGGACGCATGCGCAGTGAGGGGCAACTGCGATCACGATCCGATCCGATCCAAACTATCCGTCCACCTGGGTGGCTGGATCCGAGTGTGATTGGCCGGGCCAATGACACTGTCCATAAGTGCATCCATTTGGTTGCACTCCCCACAGATCCCAGATGCTTCAAACAATTTGCAAGCTTTCAATCAACCCGGCTCGGGGTTCTGCATTCTGGATTGGCTCCCTAATCGATCACAGAACTCGTATTCCCGCTCGATTCCTTCCATCATTCATGCGATCAGCATTATCTGCCGTCAGGCATCGTTGTCAGCCGTTGCTACCAAGTGGTGGCAAGTGGCCAGATCCGGGGCAGGAGCATCTGCATCTGCATCGAGCCATCGGAGCATCGCAGCCTCGCAGCATCGCAGCACCGAGTGCGTAAGAGGTTCGCCAAAAGCGTAATTAACGTTCGCATATTTTGCTGTCGGATTATCGCGAACGCGACTGTGCGACAAAAGCTTCCTGTGCAAATTGAACGGATAATTGCGAACCATAACTGTAAACACAGCCGATTCTTGAGGAGAAAGAGGCGCGGTCTGTCCCAAATTAAAGCAGGCTCTTGAATAGGGATTTAGTTTGAGGAAAGAAAATATAATATATTGTGTATTGAATAAAATATTACCTACTATAACGTATCAAAAAATAATTTTAAATTTATATGGTGTGCCTTAAGAGCGAAAAAAGAAACAGAGGTATAACTTTTAATCAAATATAACACTGCTTTAATAATCAATACATAATACTTATTAAGACACGAATTTGAATTAATACCTATGAACATTTGAATATTTCTTTTAGAAGATTGTGATCCCCCAACACCTAACCATTTTTAATTCACAATCATATACCGCAGAAAGGACTTACAGATATGAAATAAGAAACTTTCTTTAATCATGTAAATTTAAGTTTTGGCATTATACTTAAGATGTTAATGGATGGACTTAAATTATAATAAGATCATTATAATTGTGTTATGATTATTATAAGATAATTATCTTTACACATTTAATAAGGTAGTCCAAAGAGATCTAATCAAAAGCACAATAATGTACTGACAGTGATTTTCGTTTTAAATATCATTCTATTTAAATATCAGTGCCCTTGGTGTCCGCCGATATCAACCCACCACCGATCCCAATTAACTAAGTATAAATCGCTGGCAATTAATAATCGCTCGACAATGTTTCCCTGCCAGTGAGGGTGGTCCGAAGACCCGGAAATTTTCCCACCACATGGAGACTACAATACTACGACAGTCTCGAGTGGTTTCGACTGTTTGTAAAATGATATGAGCACATTTCGGGAACAGTTTCCAACAATCGAACTCTCCTTTCATCCTCTCTCCTAATCCTTCGCATGGTCGCTTATCGCCCGCGCCCTGGACGCTAATTTGATGAGTCATCTGTGCCGACTTCGACTGCGGTCCTATTCCGATAGCCATCTACCCCGCCCCGACCCCTAAACTGAGGCACCCCAATCCCATTTCCATTCCCACTCCAAGGCCCATTCACCTGAGTTCTCTACCTGCTCGAATGGGCATTGTCGTAAATTTAACGTTTGTCATTGAATGGGAGTGTTTAGGCATCATCTAGGGACGATATGTTTGTGTTTGTATTGAGTTTTCGTAGAAATTGTCACAAAAAATGGGAAAGCGGGGAATGTCAACACACAAAGTGCGGCAGTCGGGGGAAAACTAGATGATAATCGGATCGTACCCCTGGGTATCTCATTTCTCCATAAAAATTGGTTACAATGAAGAACCAACTATTTATTTTTCTCCCCCGGGCGCAGCTCCGTCGTTGGGAACGTAATTACTTTGATATCCGAGCTGGAAGGCATTCCCGACCTATCGCTCTGAAATGGAGAATCCCATTTACACGGCTCATCGATCCAAGGGAAAGGACTTGTGCCGCTGGCGAAACTCGGGATATGGCATCGAATTTGGATTAGTATCGGAATGGAGCAGATGTCTAGAGGTAGAGATAACATGCGGCCTGCGAGGATTTCAAGGGTTTTACTTTGAGTGCATATAACTTAAAATTTTAATTCATTCAACAGGGGTAAGATCAGGAACCATTTTTTCCTGTCTAATTTTATTAGTATCTCAAGGCTAATTTTAATTACATTTATCAACCTTTATATTAAAAAACAAATATACAATTTGCATTTAAACAGGGACCTGTTAAGATAATAATGGCATTTATATTAATGCCTGTTAAAAGGTATTTAAATTAAGTTGAATAGATTTTGAATGATTTCAAAAAGCCTTGTTTTACCTTCCAAGAAAGTGGTTATTAAAAAAGGATTTGGTTTTAATTAATAAAAATGTTAATTATAAATCCCCTGGATTATATTAACCTATAAATATTTATTTTAAAGGAAATAAAATTTTGATAGCCAGTGATTTCTACCCAAAATTTCAAGAAATCGAAATCAATTTCAAGTTTAACACCGAATACGTTTATGGGCCATCTTAAGGGGGAGAATCCCCGGTCGGCTCCTCGGATCCGTTTTGGGAATTACTCTCTAATGCGAATCCCATCGCACGCGTGTGTTTGTGAGTCATCTGCGGTCGCAATTTCGGAGTCAGAGATTCATTGGCCATTCAGTTGCATGGGCTGCCCCCCTGCAGCTATCATAAAATGCCGGCGTCGCCAAAGGAAGTGGATCCGTGAGGAGCGGGAGGAAGGAGGTGAAAGAGGAGGAGGCTAAGGTCGGTCGCCTACTTACTCCGGAGCTGTCAGCTTATCATTTCGCTTTTAGCGCACCACAAGTCCCCAGAAAGTGTGTCCTGCAACGACGTCTGTGTGTGCGTAAGTACACTCAAAAAAAAAATAAAGTCTTCAAACTTCAAACTTGTTTAATAACATACAAATTAATTGTCATCAAAAAAGACACTAAATTTTTGATACTACAAAATTAATTTATTTTTTAAATTTTTTATTTACGTTTGGATAGCAAACTTTAGTTGCTCCAAAGAGTGAAAATTATTACTTATCGTTTCTGTTATGCTACCATGATATTTTCTATTGCAAACCTTAGTTTTTATAACCACTAAGTTGACTTCCTAACGCGTTCAACAATTGGATATCATAAGATTGCATATTATTAGATTGAATATTTTTATACCCCTTACTCATAGAATATAGCATTGTTTATATCGGAGCATTCATTAAAAAGTTATAAGCAAATAAAGTGTGCCATATCGGAAACAGCCAATTTGCTGCATCATATCTCCATCTCTTTCGCACTACCTTTAGCTGAGTAACGAGAATCAAAAAGTCGATAGTGTTTTTATTCCTATTTGCAAACATTTTCCCCCAATTTTTCGAGTGTGTGTTGGGGGCTCATTATCGGAGTGCGCTCAATGGAATGTAATGGCGGCCCCGCCCCTCCGATCTCCGGCCCGCTCACCTGGCCCGCAGCTTGCGTGCTGGAACGCCGCTGTCTCCGCTGGCATTTCGTGCTATCCTTCAGCTCAATTTCGGCTACTTTTGGATGTCTCTCGGCGAGTTGGTCCATTTTTTCCTTTTGGATTGCATTGCATGTCGCATGTCGCACTCGAACTCAAAACTCGAACTCGAACTCGCTGTGCGTCCCTCGCCCTCTTTCCGTTCGCCTCTCCGTCCGTCCGATAAGGTTTTAAGTTATGACCTTTTAAAATGTCCAAATGCGGCGATAACACGTGATTACTACAAATGTATTCGGAGAGTGCAGCGGATCAGGATGCGCCACGAAAAAATCCGATCCGGGCCCTTAAAAAAAGAGACAGGCGAGTGCTGGATGGAGTGAGGGAAAGGGAGGGGATCGAGGCAGCTTGGCAACAGGCCACGGCAACAAATTGTTTTGGCCTCCAACTAACAAATGAAATCCTAAATCACACAGCACTCCTGCTGCTCCCACTCCCTCGCGGTGCTAAGGCTTCTGTCTGCCATCCAGGAGGACTGGCTGCAGGACATACATGGGTTCTTCTGAATTCCCCGGCCCCATCGAGTAGCTCTTCATGCGAAGGAATCATAAATATCGATCAAAACGTCAACGTTTTATCTATTTCACAAATCGATCGTGCACTGTGCGAAATGCAGTATAGGGCTGCATTAAATAGATCATATGAAAACAAACATTATAAATTAAAATAATAATCATCATCATTAGTTAACTCATAGAACCTTTTCATCTTGAGTTGACTAAAAGCTTTACATATATTACAAATACTTAGCATACCAGCAGAAAAGTTGTAAGCAATTACCAGCATTCACATGCAGAGATTATTAAATGAATGATGTGCTTGGAGATTCTACAAGAAGCGTGTTTAAAAAAGAATGATCATGATTATAATCAAGATACCCATTCTTCCTCCGACATTCCCAGGTTTCGCAGCCCTGGTCTTCCTGCTCCGCTGCCATTCACCATGTAAAGGGGATCCGGGGGGCCAACGAAGGGCTGGGGTCGATCACTTTGTAAATTGTTGGGCCTTGCATAATTTAAGCATAATTCTTATTTTATTCCTGGCCAGGAGTTGGTGTGTGGATGCTCCCAGGAATTTCATCTTTCGCTGGCGTATGTCGATATGCCAGATATCCGTCGCTCCGCGCGGTCAGCTACCCGACAAAATGCTCCAAGGGATTTCCCCCTCCGCCGCTACGCCACTGATTATTACGCGAGGGGCTCAGGGGGCGTATATATGGCTAATAATAACAATAATAATATGCGTTCGCTTATCAAAATTGACGTCAGATCTTATTGATATGCATCTGGCAGTGGAGTTTTTGGCCAGCGCACAAAGGAAAATCGTGTCAGGGAATCGCTTGGGCTTAATTGAAGCGTTATTATGCGACTGTCACATACACGCACGTATGCAAAGCGTTCCCCCGAATCGTTTGTGGGTTCGGGTTCGCGATCCCCAGATCCCTAGGTCCCCGCATCCACCCGTCTACCCAGATCCCCAGATCTCGAGATCTGCAGACCAGGTCCTGCTGCGCCTGCGCGAAACCTTCACCTTCGCTCGACTTGACAGATGCCTCAGAATTTTTAAGCACCGCGGGCCATCTCGGAACTTCTGCCACGGCAGCCGTCTTTTATTAATCAGCAGACTGTCCGGCGGAGGGGATCGAGCGGGGCCCGGCGGTTGCGAATATTATTTATATCGAATTTAATAATAATTCTTGAGCCGCTGCCGCTGCGTAGGCTGCTACTCTTGGCCAGTTTGATCAGCTCAGAAATTTGCATTGATCGACGTTGCAGATATGGACAGGCGGAGGCCAGAGTCAAAGTCAGGACAAGGTCTTTCACTGAGAGAAAAATAAAGCGTTTGGCTATCTGAAGAGAAAGTAGTTCTTGTCCAACTCGCTCACCTTGACTGAATGGGTGCTCAATTTACACATTGGCATGTGGTTGTAATAGATGTCTATGTTGACAGCCAATTTGTAATAACTAGATCTGATAGATATAAAAAGAAAGAAAAAACCAAGAACTAGGTATACAAATACTACACAAAAAGTTAATTAATTCAAAATAAAAATTTGTTGAATAGCCTACATAACTAGCTTAATTGAGTATCTTATTTTGTTAGTCAGTTAGATTATCTAGAGCTGTATAAATTGCAACCTAATCTAAGTTAAATATATGTTTTCTTCGACCTAATTACTGCAAAATCATTATAGATCTCATTTACTTGCAGATACCAAAATTCTTTATTTTTTGAACGATTTTAAATTTGTTATAATAACCATTTTATATTTTTAAACGCATTATATGTATATCATATGTAATTAATAGCTTTTAAAAAAAAATGTTTTAACGTTTTTGTATTTTAAGTAAAGTTTGAGTGGTTGAGTTTCAAAACTAAATGAAAAATGGGAGTTTTGAGTTTAAAGTCTGCATTTAGTTAAACATACGGATGAGAAAACCTCCGAAAATTAAAAGCAACTTGACTATAAAATATTTTGTTATTTAGGGAAACTATCTTGTATATTTTCTCAGTTAAAAGTAAGAATATATTTTATAATTTATATAATTTGTATTCTTTTCTGAGTGCATTGGGACAGTCGAGACAACGCCGTGATGTGGAGATGGTGCTGATGCTGCGGATGCCGATCGGTCTCAGCGCTTATGATGAACGATTTCGGGCGTGGGGAGGGGCACTTGGGGGGGGGTGTGGGGACAGGGACAGGGGCGATGGCGGGCGGGGGCGGCAGGAGCCGTTCAACTTTGTGTACTTTCGCCCGGGTGGAAAGTATGCGCCGCCCTTATTAGCATGCCGCGGACGTTCCCGGTCGGCGGAGGAAAGTGGGTTAGCCCCCATTTCTGCGCCTGCCCCTCTGGCTTAATGTGCCGTTTTGTTAAATTGCAGCGTTAAGAATTGCGCACATAAAGCATTTTGTTGTCAAACTGATTTCTGATCATACATAATTTTTATCTTGATCCAAATAAGCCTTACACGATCAGAACGCCGCAGCCGCAGCATCGGGCTGCCGAGACCCTAGGGCCACAGAAACCAGTAAGACTGTATCGATACCATGCCGAATACCTTAGCTCGCCGTCGTTAATATATGCATGCGTGGTCAGAGGCGATATATATTTTTTTCGGCTGATTCGTAGCTGGGTCTTTTAATGGCGAATTTGCCGGGCAACAAATGAGTCCCGGCCATATGCAAAACGTATCGAAATTATGAGCATATCTCCAAAAAAGAACGCTCTGCTCTGGGGCGTTTCAAATGCTTTGCCTTATTTGTCGCTCCGGTAACGCCCCTCGCCCACAAAAAACGATGAAAATGGCTAAGTGGCCGACACTTAAGTGCACCATAAAAATCGGAACGCATAAATCATCCCCAAAATCCACATAATAATCGGTTAAATTGATGTCCGAAACACGAGTCGGCGATAACTATCGACTCCGTTGTCTTGGGCATGGCTTTAAATTGACACAAAAATCAAATCAACTTTTTACGGCCAAAGTTATGAACCTGGGTGTTTTATTGCCCGTCGTTAACTTTCGGGAATATCAATTTGAGTTTGATTATTGTTCCAAGCGCTCCATTGATTATGCGATAACTATCAATAAAAAGGAAATCCCCGATGATCCACAGCTGTTAAGGTCCGAAAGCTAAACAATAAAGCTGCGTGTCAGGGCTATAAGTCAGTTGGTCGATTTCCTATTACGAAACCATTACAACGATGTGCTTTATTACCCGAAAAGCCGGTTAAAACGGGAATCTTGAACAATAACCCATAATAAAATACAAATTTCATATCAAAAACTCAAACTTAAGTCAAGTTAATCAATGAAATACCTATCAATATGTCTCCTATTGCCTTCTGATTAATAATTAAAATGAAAAACTTTAAATAAATAGTAACCATCTAACATCAGGTATCAGGAATCAGTCAAATTATATTTAAATAACCCATTTTCATACATTTTATGTACTTAACAATTCGTTGAATACCATTTTATATGATTTCCTTGTACTCAATAAATAAAACGGAAACAATGTCGTCTTATAATTTCTTTAATAAATTAAACAATGAAGTCTTTTGTAAACCGAATATTCTTCTTTGTTTTATTACAAAACATCCAAACATTTACCCAATAATACATATTTTGTGGATTTCTTCGCTTCCTTGACCCAGTTTAAATGGCTAAGAGAAATGAAAGACCCGGCCGAATCGTACATATTCCAGAAAATTATGCCCCATGTTTGCCTGCCCTGAACTTCCCTCCCACCTGAGCGGAGGGGCACATAAATTGGCTCCCAATATCCACAAAACGACAGTAAACGGTCATTTTTATCGAAATAATTGCATTTTTTTGTTTGTTGGCCGTGTGTTCAGTTGGTTCAGTTGGCTTTTTGGCTCTGACTTTGGCATTGGCAGCGAAAGTTTTGATTGCGTTCCGCTGGCGTTAGCAGGCCGTGGATAATCCACTCTGTTTCATTACGAGCTCGGAGTGCAGATGCCGGAGGGCCGGCCAAACGAGCCTCTGATTGTGCATACGCACGAAATCAATAAATAAAAGAGCGGCCAGAAATTGCCCGGTCTTCTGGGGACCCAGGGTCCCACTGCCAGCAAATGGAGGCCCACGCCGCCGCCCTTCCCCGACCCCAGGATGCAGCTCCTCCAACCTCGGCCTGATGCGCGCCCATAATTCATTTCATTATTGTTTTGACATTTTATTTATTGAATGCGAACAGGCTCCCACCCTCCTCATCTCAGAACCCTTCCCGTGCCTCTTTTTTTCCGCAAATGTTTTGTGCAAATTGTTAACGGGCTTGTTTCATTTTAAGGCCCTGGTAAGTGAGTGAAATCAATGCCTGCGATGCGTGTGTGTGGTCTTCGCGCTGGCCAGCAAACAAAAGACTTAGGCAACGAACTTGGTACAGAGGGGCCAAAGAAAAGTGTTTTTCGAGCAAACAAACGAAATGCTTATGGAAATGTTACAAGGCAACGCAACAAGTCGGAAATTTACATAAATTGCCCTCAAATCAATTTAGTTAGCAGAGTGAACCGGTTCGGGGCCAATGGCTTTCGTGAGCAATTCTCTTAACCTCCATTCAATGGGCCCGAAGCATCAATTAATGATCCGTAGAGAGAGTTTTCAATTAGACGTCCATTAAGATCGCATTCCAAATGGAGCACTCCACACTCTTCCCACGCGACACTGCCACGCCCACGCCCACGTGGAGCCGCCCTTCCTCATCGATTGCCCAATGCCAAATGGCTGACAATTAATGCACACCTCGCTGCACTTACCGACTTGATAAATTGGGTGTCCCAACGCCGCGCAGAAGTTATGGAAATTAGCCTGCCGCAGAGAGTTAATGGAGTCAAAACGCTTATAAAACTTATATGCCCTGCCGACTGCGGCAGCTGCAACGGCCAGAATATGACAATATGGCTGGAAATTAATCTTGCATAGAGCCGGAGACGGAGATCCAAAGTCCCCAGTTCCCAGTTCCCATTTCCCAGTCGCCGGGAGAGAGGGCGTAGGATCGTAGGAACGCAGGAACGTCTAGGCAGGATGTGGACTGCCATTGTCGCCCGGTTTCACTCGGTCGTCTGAGACTCTCTGAATGTGAACTTGATTATGTTTTATGAGACTCGCTGCCGATGCCTGTGCTGTTGCAGTCGCCGTTGCATTGCGTTGCATGCTGCAGATGCTGCAAATCCGCCAACTAAGTTGCATCTGTACGCCATTAGATGTCGCCCATAAATTGTGGTATCATTTTTTATACGCTCTTCGGACCGGCCATCTAAATGACCCAAGAAAGGGGATCCCTTTTCGGTTCTGATACCCGGTGGGCGTTTATCTGTTTGCCACTTTTTGATTTCATTATTCAGTTTTCCCCCACTTAAGGCCCCGCATTCAGTAATTTTATCCCATTTGGGAATCAATAGGTTCTGGAAATAAAGCTTTAAGGTTAATCTAAGGTCAATCAATAATCAAACGCTATTTTGGGTTAGGTAATGGCTCTCTGAGACCGGGTTGTACTCGTATTTAAATTAAGAAAATCAAACAACATTTATAAAAATAATTAAATAATTAAGCGTAACACACAACAATTTTATGATTTAAAAACCATAAGTTTAATATTTTAAATATAACTAAATGAGAAATATTTTTCGTGCGTACGACCGTACTTAAATATTTGAAGATACGATCGAAATCGTTCTATTTTTTTAAAGATACGTATGAGTAAAGAACAGAGAAATCATTTTAAGAACATATTATTGCTATTAGCATTCTTAACACTAAATAGTTGTATAAAAAATGATCATAATAGTAATTATTTGATGTGAAAAGGCAAATACATTAATCCAAACTCCTCGCTCTGAAGTCCACTGTGCCGTACTCCCACGCAGCCTTTGCCCTCAGCTAAGCACCCTGCACCCTACCCATAATAGCCTGCCCCTACGCCCCTGTTTCGGTATCATTGTTGATGACATTTATGTCTTAATATTTTTGCAGGCCCAAATGCAAATGCAGTGGCACTCAGGCAGTACCGTTAGCCAGCGCCATTAGCCAAGTTGAGAGGCTCAGCGGATCTACACACACACTTATGCCAGCCATTAATTTCCATTTATGGATTAAGCAAGTGAGCGGGCCGACCAGCGGGGGGTGTTCCAGGGGCGGAGCTGAGAGGAGTAAGAGGGGTCCACAGCCCGCACGCACAAAGCCTTTAATAAATGCATCGCCATTACGGGCAGCACATGCTTAGGAGCAGCAAGGAGCAGCAACATCATCAGCAGTTGCTCCTTTGAGCCACAGTCACAGTCGCGGCCAGATGGCCCAGCTGGCGAACAACTCAATTGGCATCGCGGCTTTGGTTTCTCAGCTCCGCAGCTCCTCAGCTCCTCAGTTTTCCCGAGCTGCTTATCGCCAGTTGCCGTTGTGTGGCTGCAAATTCTGGAGCTGCACTCTCGATGCC